TTACAAAGTTTATTTGTTATTATTTTTTCATTTGTTGCAATTTTTTCGAAAGCAGTTTTTAAATATAAATATAAAACTTTTAGAAAATAATTCGTTTGAAAAACTGCGGGAATGGCAAGAAAATGGCGGACCAATCAAAAGTGGCAGCTGTATGGCGCCACTCTGATTAGAGGCTCTCTAGAGTAACGATACTGCGAGTAATTATGGATTCGCTCCGTTTCTTCTTTTATTATAAGTAATTCTTCGCGGCGTTTTCTTTTAAGTTATTATCGCTCTCATATCGGGTCTCGTAATCCGCATAGGGGACCGTCCCGCGAATCTCGTTGGTTTTTTTATATTGTGACGGATCTTTATTCTACGGCTTATTGTTTCCGTGTTTCTTTTATATATTGCGATGAATTGTTATGCGATGTACTTTTATTTTATTTTATTTTATTAATTTAAACCTAATTCGTTCGATTTCGTTATTGTTCCGCTACTCTCTCTCCTGAACCTGCTGGCGATCCCTGCCACCCGTTCCGATACCGACGAGCTATACCGCGCATCAACAGCAGGTCGTTTTAAATTTTATATAATTTCTGCCGCCAATCAGTTGACAGAGAATGTTAATAAAGTCTATTTATAAATGGAAGTAGAATGTGACATCATTCAGTTAACGTCAGTCTGCTGATATATTCCAATGAAATCTGTTGCCACTCTGCCAACATTTTATTTTACTGTCTGCTTGTTATACATTTGATGCAATTGAACGTAATTTTTGTACACTTCTACGATCAACTAAGGTAAGAAAATCAAGACCAGAACATTTTTATAAGCTCATGTATGTCAAAGTAAAACCGTTGCTTAATCTTTAATTTTTCTTCTTCTCTGTATCTTTAAGCGACTAATTGACACATTTAGTATATATGCTTCGCAATTAATCGTGTCATAATAAATGTATTATATAAGTATATTTATATATCATTTAAATTAATACTTTTTATCACGTTATAATAATACATTGACTCATTGTCTTTCGATTAAGACGCATAAATAGGATACAGCAAAAATAAGATAATTTTTTGTTATCTTTATTGCTAATACTCAATGTCTCATGTCAGCAAGTCGTAATATTGATTTAAGTCAACATATTACAAGATATGTTAGAAGAAGTGATAAAAAACAATTAATTGAGCATCTCCGACACAGCCGTTACAATAAGATATTAACAGTAAGTGTATATAAATCTCCCATTTAGAAATTTCTGTTATTGTACTCAAAATATGTCAGTATAGCATCTTGTCGACATTAAGTTATTAAAATTGCGTTATACATTAATATTACGTTTCACATTTTTCTAATTTAACGAGGTCTAATTAATTTAATGGTCGCTGGAAAAACAATTCTTCATCCAAAAAAAGATTAAACATAGTTATAAAGTGAAATTTCCTCTAATCCCATATTCTGAGCGAAAACTTTTACAGAAAGAATATTCCTCTTCCAATAAAGTGAACTGTTCATTCAAAATCTATTAGATATTATTTTTCGGTTTTCCTTTTGTATTAAGAGAAATATGTTTATTTCAAGCAAAATGCCCTCTTAAGTGCGATACGAGTAACAAGAAAAGCAATGTGTATCGATGCGTTCTGCCGTGACAATTGATTGAAATGTTGCGCTGCATTTGCGAAAACAGACGCAGTAAGAAGAACTGCGTTCCATTATTCATTGCAAATACCGAAAAACTACAGTATAAATAATGTGAGTTATAAATATAGATTTACAGTACAAGACTTGCACTGTAAATGCAAGACAAAATTATTCTAACTATTAGAATAGTGTGCACAGAATTAATATTTTCCTCTTAATTTCAAAGGATTCCTCTTGAGGCCATATACAAGAATTATATTCTCTAAGATTTAGCGGATTCCACTAATACTAAAATTTTTTTTTTTGGTGTATTATACAAATTATTACAAATTATGTATTATCCAACACATGTGACCCCGCGATAATGTACGATAGTAATTTTGCTTCATTTGTGATAGTAGCCTCCTCCGTACTCTGACAAAACAGATAATACTGCAGATGACATTTCTTCACGTAAGGTTCACTAAACGAGTACGTTTATAATTACCGTACTCTTCGTACAAAGTTCATTTGCGTACGCACGCAATATATACAGGGTGGACTATTTTAATCCATCCAGTCGAATATCTCGAAAAATAAGCACACTAGGAAAAAATGTTTCAGACAAAAGTTGTAGGGCTTCGAGGGGGACATAAGATGATAACATTGGTTTGACTCTGAGTGGCGTCGTCAAGGTCAGAACAAGATCACTTTAAATTTTTTAAATAGAACCCCTCATTTTTCATTGCATATTCTTATAGCTTATCTCGAGAGTTTAATTGCTTTTTATACAGGCATCTCTAAAAAGAAGTTAATATCATAACGTCAATTGGCAGTGATTGTCACGGCA